GGCAGCCTGTTCCAGCGCTCTGCCACCCTCAATGCCAAGTTCTTCTTCCTGTTAAAGTGAAACTTCCTGCGTTTTGGTTCACGGCCACTGCTCCTCGTCCTGTCACTGGGCACCTGAAGAGTCTGGCACCGCCGCTGAGATATTTATACGCATTAATGAGACCCCCTCTCAGTATTCTGTTCTCCAGACTGAACAGACCCTCTCCTCATACACACAGAGATGCAAACAACATAGATACATAGATACATACATACATATATATATATATATATATATAAACACACGAGCACGGCCCACGGGCGAGGGGCAGCCCGAGCCCGGCCGCCGCCTGGACCACGCACTTCTCGGAGCCCGCCTGGGCTCGGCTCCCCTACCCGGCCTTCAGCCCGCTGAGGGTACCCCATCCCCGAGCTGCATCCTGGCCGCCGACCCCTCCGGAGATTCCCGCCAGGACCTTCGTCTCCTCCTCCCCAATTTAACGCGCAGCCTGCAGGGCCGCACAGGGGACGGGAGCATCGCGCGGGCAGGAGAGGGGGAACTCGGCCAGATCGTCACAGCCAGGCAGGGGAGGGAAATACGGGACGGGAAAGGAGGGGAGCGGAGGGAAGGGAAGAGGGCCGGGGCCCACCCCGATCCTGACACTCACCCGCGCCTCACCCGGGCTCCGCCATCGCGCCCCGCCCCGAGGCCTCGCGCGCGCAGCGGCGCCAGGACGGCGGCCGGCGGAGGCCACAACAGCGCGGAGGGCGCGGCGCCGTCGCTTCGCCACTGAGAGCGCGGTCTGCCCGAGCCTTGGAGTCTCACCTCCGTTTGAATTGGAAAATAACAATCCCAGCGATGCCTATCAGTTAAAGCGCCTGCGATGCTGATGTATCGGATCCAAATGGGTGATGAGCTATTCTGGCCACAACGCACTTTCTTTATTTTTATTTTTCGTTGTTAATTTCCTCAAAATACAATGCCAGTAGCAACTTTGCTGAATACTATAAACGATATTCGTCAAAATATTTAGTATCAGATGGCTGAAGTTTCTGGCGCTGTTTTCCTCCAAACTTTTCTGACTGATGTTTAGTAAAACACCCGTGTGTTTGTTGGATGGCTGAAGCTAAAGCTCTGAGCAGATTAAGCGTGCAGTGTTCCTGCTGATCAAAGTGTTGCAGCGAGTGAGCGTATTATTATTGCTTTGGCTTTAATATACACAGTTAACCTAAAACGATTATTGATATTGTATCTTCAGTATATTCTATTTTGAGGTAGTCAGCTTTGGAATGTAAAAGTCATCATTTCCTATAGTTGCATTTCAAATGTTAAGTTTCTCTCTTTAGAAGGAGCCTTTGGAACCAGTTTATTCTTTAAAAAAAGAAGATTATAATCTCCCTGGAACTGGAGGGAAAGTGAATGAAAACCCTGGATGTTTTAGATAATAGGTCTGTTGGTCCACTCACAGATAAAATGTGGCAACTTCTAGTTACAAACATCATCTCCCTCTCCTTTTTTCTTGCAAACTTGTGCTTACTTTATATAATGCTTATCTGATGATCTTCCTTATCCAGCGATCACAGGAAAACAAAAAAAAAAAAAAAAAAAAAAAAAAAAAAAAAAAAGGAAAAAAAGAAAATGTGGACAAAGGAACAGGTGAGATTTAAAGAAGAGAACTGGGACAGAAAGAAATAAGGACTTCATTTAAATCATTCTTTAAAAACAAATCATTCTGAGCAGGATTGAGCACTATTAATGGTCTCATGACAGAGTAATTGTTACAGTTGAAGATATATTTGCCTTCCTATGTGGTCTTTGTTTAGGCACACAAGTACTTTGCAAAGATGCTCTCAGTGAGACACTGTGTGATGTATAATTTGTTACTTTTGTGGCATTTTTAGCCCAGGAGAGAATGAAGGAAAATATTTCAAAATGGACAGCCACACTGATGTATTTCTAGACCTCCTCCTATGGAGTAAGAAGTCTCTAGCAGGTCAGTAGCAATGGTATCTGTATCCCAAATCAGCATTTTCACTGCTGCCTCATAAGGGCAGTGATTCCTTTCCGCTTTTCCGTGTTCAGAGTATTCCACATGCAGTCCTTGAATTCGTCTTCTCTCTTGTGGGAGCACTGCACTGCCCTCCCTCACAGCTGTCCCCACCAGCCAAGTGTTTCTGCTCTGGTTGAAAACCCAGCTGGGCACACACCAGTGCCGGTTTACAGCTGACTAAAAGAGCAAAGCACAGCCTGCAAGACACAACCAAAAATCTCCAAATGGCCAACGCTGACAAGCATTACTCATGAAGGGGAGGCAGTAATCTCCAAGAGCAGCTCCCAGGCAGGAATAACCCACGAGTCCCGTACCTAGTGACATAAATAGGCCACACTGATCAGCTCCAGCACGATCCGGCAGAGCCTTTACCTTGTCCCAGTGCCAGGAATTCATAGTAGCAAGCAGCCCTTGTGCCAGCACAGTCCTGTTGAGCCCTAGGATGTAGCCACAAATTGGAAGGCACTCTCCCAGTGCTATGGAAGCTCACAAACCTAAATTGTTTTGTAGCACATTCCTAGTAACCTGCACGCAGACAGCAGGTAGCACAGCAGGGAGAGAAGGGAGCAGATAATTCCCCACTACCTCCTGACTGCAGGAAGAAAGTTTATCCATATCTACCTGGAAAAACTGCTTTTTATGTGACAGTGGCAGGGAGTACAACTTCCAGTGCTGGCCTCCTCTGTGCTGGCAGCACACATGCTCCAGTTCCTTGAGTGTCCAAAGAAGTGCTTTAGATTTCATCCTTTCCCAGTTGCCTGCAGACCTTACCTCCTCCTCTTCAGGGCTGGTAGACTCAAAGACACCAGCCTCAGGCTGAGTTATCAACTGAAGTCCTAGGTTTTGCCAGGAATAGGTAGCTGGAAAAATACAAAAAACTGCTGGGAAAATTAAATCCAAATCTCAACTGCAGGTCATGGTTAGTAGAAGATATGTCCTTAGTGGGTTTAGAGCATCTCAACAAACATCCTTAGGGAAGGAAAACGGCCAGGGAGGCGAGGGCTCAATTTTTCTATGGCAACCTAATTCTCTGATAACTAACATCAGTTCTGGGTGGAAATGGGTGGGAAGGTATTCAGAAAAAAAAATGAGGAGTCCTAAAAGACATAGGAAATTAGATCTTTTTTTCCTCTACTCTTGAAATTCAGGAGAATCTGGTTGATCATTTGTGAGCAACATTCAGCATCACTCAGAACAGGTAACAGCCCATTTTTTTTCCTGTTATATATGATGCTTTCTTCCTGTCAAGTTTCAGAATGAAAATAGTGGGTAAAGAAACTCCCAGACTTAATAAAGGCCAAGCAAGCTTTCTTCTGATCATTGCTTAGCTGTAGAGTAATATCCAGGCAGATCTTACTTCAGCATGAAAAGCAGAACGGGGAGGTGAATTCTGCTGGTTTATGCTTTGGTCAATATCACTCCACTGACTTTGCTATACAGCCTCGTGGTTCACTCAGTGCTGAGAACTGTTGGCTGCATGAACACTGATGGCATTGTGCATTAATTGTGTTTCACACAGGGGAAAAAAAAAAAAAAAGACATATATTAAATTCAGTGCTTTTAAACATATAGCTCTTTCATGCTACAGAAAGTACCTCGCATATCTTTCATTCTTTCTACAACAGAAATGTTCATGTCAGCATCAAGACCAAGTTGCAATTTATTCTTTCAGGTACAAGTCAAAGGAATATAGTGACTGTTTCTTGTCATTTGTAGGTGGATGACTCCTTACTGTAGGTTCAAGAGCATGAACCTCCCTTTTTTTCTTTTTTTTCCAAACTCCTTTCCTGTGTGTAAAGGAATAAATAGCTGCCTATCATTCAGGCTATATTGACAGATTTTCCCAAAACCTTTTCCATCTGCTGGCAGCCAAGGAATGCAGTGCATAACAGGCCCCAATAAAACCTCCCTGGAACTAATACTTGTACACTGAATAATGTTGAGGCACACCATGCTAGCCTGGAGGAGCAGGAGTATTTCAACTGGCTGATTTTTTTATCCTGCACCTCAGCATATCCCAAGTTTGCAAAGCAGATACAGAAAGCAGAAGGAAGGAGAGGAGAAAATGATATGAAAACCAGTAATCAGCAGCAGATTCCAGGGGCAAATAAAAAAGTGCTTATGGCAACTGGAGAACAGAGAAACTGAGGACAGGCCAGGGAGGTACAGCAGTTATTTATTGCTATCTCTGCTTCGAGATCAGAGAACACAGACATCTAGCCCTCCCGTATTATTTATTAAGAATATAGAGGACCTTTGTAATCTTCCTTTCAGTACTGCTGAGTGCAGATGTTTGAATGTGTACAGGTGCACAGAGAAAGTAACAGCCTTCTCCTACTGTGCAGGAAGTTGACAAGACACAAATGACTTGCTCGGAGATACATTTAAGCAATCAACCATATTACTGTGATTTTGTTATTCTTTTCTTTTTCCCTTTTTTTTGCAGTTAATGGATGGCCATGTATCTAAAAAGGTGCAGCACCAACACCAGAAAAGAAGTTCATAAATATAGGTCTGGCACAAGGGACTGTTGGAAGTGACACAAGAAAACACTTCTGTTTAAAGCTACTATTAGGAAACTTCTGGAGAATTATCAGTAGACAGGATAAGCAGATCTTCAACAACTGCTTTCATGTGATTTAATCCCACAGTAACACCATTTCTATGAAGTTCGCAAGAAGTCTGATCCTAATTCATATAAAAGGAGAGGGAATAAATAAAAATAAGTTTGTATAATCCCAACCTCTGGATCACCTGCTGTGCCTCTTAACATGTGTCTTTTATTCTTGTTTCAATCTGGCTTAAAAAACCCCACTGAACTTGTTAGCATCATTGAAAAAAAAATGGGATTGAAACTATCTGTCAAATGAGTGTTTGCACTAATAACGAAAACAGTAACAGGTTTCAAGAAACAGTATGACAGGCACCAAGAGTAAGAAAAATTTAAATAGCTGTATACAAATCTAAAGTCTTTAAAAAATTTCGTTTTTATTGATTCATTACCATACAAAATTTATTCAAATTACATCCATTTGAAGTGGTAAGATCACAGCTAGAGAACATGTCACCCTTTAGTAAATCTATTTACAAAACTCACCATAAAAGCTTTTTTTGTTGGTTTTTTCCTTTTTTTTTTTACAGTATTTTACAGAGGTTTGTTTTGTTTTTTTTTTTTTTAAACTAGCATACAATGCAAAGCTAAATTAGATTAGTATTTTGCCCACACACATTGGGACAAGTGTTTAATTTGTACAAAAAAAAAGATGGTCTGCATTATCTTCATTTTCTCTTCCCTCGCAAAAGTGCCCCTTTGTCTCGCAAATCTTCATGCTCACACAACTTTTACTTTCCTCTTCCACAAGACGAAAACTTTAAATACTACAATTTTATTTACAGATCCACATCTAAAAAAACTCTTAAAAAATTACAAACCAGCTAGAAAATATTCTGGCAGTGTTTACAAATTAATTCTATTGTACAAAACTGCTAGATAACTAAAGTGTGAGTTGAGAACATATATCAAATTAAATACAACTGCTGAATGATCTATGCAAACATTTGTACATATAAACACACACTTAACACTGTTTAACAGTTCTTTATGTGTTGCCCTTTATACATTTGTTATATTCCAAAACCCACACAGTCATACAGTTTCCTTATTAGTACTGTGACTTCTTGCCTTTTCGTGTGTGAGCTTTCATAGCAGCAACTCAATGGTACCAGAAAACCTGCATACATAATATTCTACTACAGTACAAATAGTACTAATTTTCTGAGTATGTCAGATAAGCACAACAGTAATGCAAACAAAAAGATTATATGGGCATCATCTAATCAACATTACATTAATTTAGCCCAGAACATGGCAAAATATTTTACACTCAAGAAAAAAAAAATTATTTAAGACTTCTTAGAATTCCTCTGACGTTCAAAAAATAAATATTGGTACTATACTATACTAGCAAAGATCTTCAAAAAATAAATGCAATTCAGTTGGTGTGGTACTTACAGTTATGTACTTTGGAAAAAAATTAGTTCCATTTTGCTGGCGAAGAGAATTATAAAAAGCTGTAAGCAGAGGAAGCTAACCCACTGAGATAAATATGATATATTGAACAAACAAAGCTTGGCATAAGTGTTTTCCATAGAGGGAAAAACCCACAGTGCATCTCTAGTAGGCACTTAACATGAAGCCCCACTTAGTACCACAAAAATTCTTGTACCAGTTCTAATGCACACTGGGGGCAGTAAAATTGAACTGTGCATCTTCGTTCTAGTTTAAAAAAAACAACCAACAAAAACTACTTTCACACACACACACGCACACACAAGCATTTTCAAAAATCTGCGATTACTACGAGAAGTGGCAGAACTTTATACTTTTCAATATCTGCAATATACACTACATTTACAGTGTATTTTCTTTTCATTAAAAGCTTTTAAGGACATAAGTATTTGACCTCATAATGAGACATATACATAGCTCAAAATGAGCATTATGACAGCAATTTAAACATTCCCACAAGTAGCTCAAGAATCCCATTCCACTCTTTTGCATTACTTCATATTTACGTTCACTGCATGTACAATCCATGTTGTGACACTCAAAAGACATGCATTCTCTGCAGAAGGCACGACCTGAAATACTATTACAAAATTGTTATTTAGGACTAAACCAGTCCATGAAGCCCTTCTCCAAAAGCCCACTTGTCACGGTAAGCAGAGACTGGGGGAGTGTGAAGACAAAACATCTACGGTCACCTGCTTGCACCTGCTGACTCGCAAGGCACTGGAGCTCGGGGTCAAGGAGAAGGCTCTGCTGGAAAAGCCTTCCGTTGTTTCTTATGGTGTTATAGGGAGTATTCAATTAAAATATCAGCACTGTTCAGGAGCCTAGTTTATTTAATAATGCTATTTTATGGTAAGTAGAGGACAACTCTGAATGACGGCAGGTTTTTTGATTCCATTAAAAAACATAGTTTAGATACGGACAGCACTTAAGACAATCAGCTGTATATAAATTCATCCATCAGTGAAGGAAGTTTCTCTAAATCATAAGCATCAAAGAGGTCACTGATGCCTTCTTCATCCCCAAGGCTCAGCAAATAATCTTCCTGAAGCAGAGGAGGCAGCAAATTCACAAATGGTCCTTCAAAGTTTGAGGGAATTTGGTCCTCGGTCTGCTGTAAAAGGTTGGCTGGAGAAGCCAACGGAGAGATTGTTGCCATATTTACTGAGCAGTCACCTTGTCCTGAGTTAGCAGAAGCCACTTCTGTGACAGAAGGGAGAAAAAAATAAAAAGTTGTCACATTTAATCTCAGTAGAAGTATCAGTCACAGATCAAACAAAGTAGCCACTGCATAAAGGGCCTTTTGTAAAGCATCATTTCAACAATAAAAAAATGGCCTCCATGTAATTTCTAGTTTGTTTTTGATGTGTTATGAAGGGCTTCTCAAAAATGATAATGTTGCTATCATCTTTGACTTTTCTATTAAAAAATTATCTTACAAGATTTAAACATCTACGGGGGAAATAAATCAAACATAGTGAGATGCCCATTTTTCAGTGGAGTTCATAGCCAAAACTGAGAATTTTCTAGGTACCAGATGTCATCAGTGAAGCAATGTAGCTTCACATATACCCATACACAGAGGTTTCTGCCTCTTGTGTTGAGATGGATCTTTACCGCTACTGTCTTATAGAAAAACTTAAAAGGAACAAAACTGTCTCTTTCTTCACTATTACATACACTTTGGTTATATATGATATGCAAATAGGAAACTCACTTTAAACAATTATGCAAATGAAAACCTATTTCTGACTATATCAACCAGAAATACATAGTGAAACATTGATACCTTAGCTTTTCACTTCTTAGAAAAATAAAGCCAAAGAAAAAGAGCTGGAAATCCGAAGTTCAAACTGAAACCTTTAATGTGAGCTTGAAGAAAGGCTATTAGAATTGCAAAGAAATAATTTTACCTTTGGAAATGGTTTTGGAAATATTTCCATTGTGGTCCTGACTATAGGTTTTCATTGGACTGAGGGCATCGTTTTCCTCTGGGCACAGATAAACTTCAATAGGTCCTTGAGTACTAGATAAATGTATCAATGCACTCTGCTAACAAAACAAACATCAGAATGGTGTTACACCAATGAACACAACAGAATACTGATGATACTGAGTAAATTCTTGCTGGGTAGTGAGTGTTTGACTACAGTTTTACTAATCAAAAGAACCTGAAAAGAACACCAAGCTTTTTTCAAGATGTGAAAGGTTTGGCTGATGTATCTTGCAGACTAGAACATAAAAACTTTTTCCACTGTAGTGCACAAATTTCAAAATCCCACCATTTTTACATGTCATATCATAAGAAGGAAGGCATAAAGGATTAAACTCCAAACATTTTCTTATAACCACAATAGCCTGGAGCATTCTGATGGAATGGAACTGTGGGATGCAGGTCACAGGTTTTATTATTATTCATAACAATAATATTGGATGTATTTGTATAAATGTTTCTGCTTTAAAAAGATGCCAAAACATCTTTCCCACTTTCTCAAGAGCCTTCAGCACCTACTCTACTGAACTCAGATACCTATATGTAAGTTCACCTACTTATCAGGCAACATTTCCAAATAACAAAAAAACTCCAAAGCAGACGCAATTTTCTTCACCCAAACTACTTATGTAAGTCCTTCTTCCCCCTCAAGGCAGTGATTTTGATGGTGGTTCTGAATATGAACTACTAATTTGTTGCAAAAAGTTACATTTTTCTTAACTTTCACACACTGATGCAATAAACCAAAATGACCCAGACACAGAAAACCTGCAAAGCTGCTTTTTGTATTATAACTGAAAATCATAAATTACTCCGGTTATAAATAAACCTGCTGCTGCTGTATTGCATCAATAGTTTTGTAAAAAGCATAAATATAGGCATTAGGTACCTCTTTCCAGACTTGTTTAAAACACTCCCTTTTGTGCTCTCTGACAAAATGCTCCTCTTATTATTTGGGTTCTGAGTTATGTAACATAATAGACAGCATTTACAAATACAGAGAACAACAACTGAATAGGGACTTGCCAGGGAAAACAGTTAAGAGTACTTAGGGCAATGCTACAGATAACTGGAAAAAAAAGGAGATGTAAAGAGCAGAGGTTGAAGAAGGAAGGTATTATTGAGTGACTGGAGTATGCAAAAAAAGAACACTGAAATGTAATAGCATGTGACAGAAAGAAATAAGACCTTACTGCCTGAAGCTGAAAATTAAATAAGGTGGGTATAGAGGATTAAGGGAGGTCTAAGCGCTAATTTTAATGACTGTGTGCATCTCTCTCTGCCTGCCTGATTTCACTGAATTAAAAATCAAAGCATAATGCCCAGGGGAAAGAAACAGGAAAGCAAACAACAATAACAGTATATATTTATGAATACTGATAAAAGATACCCTTTTACCATTGCAGCAAAATGATTTATTCTTCCTGCCAGAACCTGCAACAAGGTTCAAAGGGGAAAGTAAGGACAAAGGCAAAGAAAAGAAAAAAAGAAGGATGGAAACCAAAATGGGTCAAAGCAAGTGCAGAATAACCTTAGGAAAAAAAAGTGACAGGGAATCCAGAGTCTGATCCTGCCCACAGGGTAGCAGGTATGGCTAAGCTCACTTGGCTTGGTGTAGGGATGAAAGATGAACAGCTATGAACAAAACATTAGCAGTGTTTGTGGCGTCAGCCCCACCTCTAGTTGCTCCTTGAGTGAAGGAATTAGATACATTTTTTAAATCTCTAACCAAGCCATTCCTGCCAATTATTTCCATCTTTCCAACATATTTGAGTCTGTCTTCCCAAGTGAGAATTAAAGTAAGTGCCAATGAAGGAAAGATGATGATGATGATGAAAGAGGGAAGGGCAAGAATGTATTCTAGGAGTAAAACACAAATTTCTACAATACCTGTAATACTTCAGAAAAGAAACTCCTACATGAAAACATGTTTCAGTAAGTTAGGATATCAGTTACATACATTGTCAAGATGCTTAAGGCATTGAGTTATCCATTACTGAAGTAAGAATGCTGAATTTCTTGTCAAAGACTTTACATTGTTACAAACCAAGGAAATTTCAATTGTCAAGAAAGAGTTTCTCTTTACATAAAGCATAGCAAAGAAAATATCTGTAAATAGTGTGGATTACTCCGAAGAAATCTGAAAATGAGTGAAAAGGAACAAATAGTGATTGTTCTGTGTGAATTGATTTTTAAAGTTTCCCCTTCCTTTTCTACAGAAACATCACTAAAATGTGTAAGAATATAGGACTGGATACCTGGGCACATCACAGTAGGACTCAGGAGATGCTGTATCTGTAGAAAAATTATATATAACCTGGCAGGAAATGCCAGATTCTCCTTACCTCCACTGGGTCAGGCACTTCAAGTCTTGTTTCTGGAGGAGCTTTCACAACTATAACAGTTTGGTCTTTAAGGCCACTAATTTTTCGAATATCTTGATATGTCACATAAGCTAACGTAATCACTGTTAAGGGATTTTCCAACCCAGGTTACAATACACTCAGACTATTAGAAAAAGCAGGAGTCTTTGAATGATTTTTCCATTTTCTCCATTTCCAATATAGCTCTTGGCCCAAGGTTTTCTGTTCTCTACACTGTGATTGCCACGAAGCCCTGTGAGAACTTCCCTTTGATGTAACAGCTGGGGCCACTACTCAGTGAACAAAAGGGATTCTCTGTGCTGAGTGCTTCTCTCCTCCTCTATATGGGGGAAGCTACAGAAGCTAAGGTTCAACAATCTGAAATTATTCACAGACCCCTCAAAGCAAAAATTTTTATGCACTCGCTATCAAAATGCAGAGAGCTGAAAATCACTGAAAAAGTGTACAGGAATTTATAGGTGAATGCTATAGAAGTGCATACACAGCATCACTGAATCATAGAATGGCTTGGGTTTAAAAGATCATCTAGCTCCAACCCCCCTGCCATGGGCAGAGACACCTTTCACTAAACCAGCTTGCTCAGAGCCCCATCCAACCTGGCCTGGAGCAATTCCAGGGATGGGGCACCCACAGCTACTCTGGGCAACCTGTGCCAATGTCCCACCACCCTCACAGCAAAGAATTTCTGTCTAATATTTCATCTAAACTTCTAAACTTCTTTCAGTTTAAAGCCATTTCACAACATGTCCTTACTAAAAACTCCATCTCCAGCTCTCCCCCAGGCCCCCTTTAGGCACTGGAAGGTGGTATAGGGTCTCCCTGGAGTCTTCTCTTCTCCAGGCTGACAAAAATCCTAATTTCAGTTTACATTTGAGGGGTTTTGCAAACATAAATATATAATACATAGAACCTATATAAAGATGTATATATATAAACACTTATGCAACATTCATATATTTATATATTAATTTATATTATATAAAATTAGTTTTGAAGACTGTTTAAGCAGCTACTTTAAACCTCTAGAGCGCAGAATGTCAATTTCTGCATAAGCACAGAATAAATATGAATATTTTGCTATTCAACACGTATTTGTCAAAATGACAGTGTTTTGGGGTTTACTTCATGGGGAAGCCTCCTGTACTGATCCATGTAACTGAGATGTTAAAGTGCTTCTGGCTGTGAAAAGAACTGTGAACTGGCCATGATCACAGGCATACAGCTCCAGCTCTTTAGTTTTGTCATGTGTTACCTGCCATAACGTTTATGCCAGAGGAATAAAAAGCCTGACTTATTTTATATACTTTTGGGTGGTGTGAGTGTGTGCTGTTACTGAGCAGTACAGCAAGATAGACTGCCCAAGCTCCAGTACACACTGCATCTATCTTGGATCAAACAAGTCGAGAGGCAAAGTGACAGGTGATCAGATGTTGCGGTGTGATGTCATGGCTTGCCTCAGTTCCCTTGGTTTCTCCCCGAAATTTCCTTCCCTAGGTGGGGTGTCAATCACCTTTCCTTTCCCCACCCTTGACACCTGCTGGGCATTGTCTATCAATTGGTAAACTCCAATAATCATCTTTCACCCAAATGGCTTTTATCAAGGCTTTTACCACTTGTTAAATAAGGTTTGCAAAGGCAAAGTTCATCCCCACAGGATTCAGTGCTGCAAAAATTCAGAACTGTCATGTTCAGTTTTGTCTTGGTTATGTCTCTTCATGGATTACACTCTTAGCTAAAGGCAGTGCTGATCCTACTCCCCATTCCACTTGGTGATCTTTGGTTACATCAAAATGTCTATGAAATCCAGTCAAAAAGTCAATGTTCACATAGTTCAAGTACTTTTTACTGGTACGCCCATAGTTACTTCCTGTCCTTCAGAATAGAGAATAAATCGACTTGATTATCTAATCAATCTATTTGAACACTACTTACTATATATAGTAATAAGTTTTCATATCAGCATTTAATAAAATGCTTTCTTGTGTTGCTAATAGGTGGGAAATCCAAGGAAAATGACTACTGGTTAATTATGAAGTGCATTAACAGCCAAAATAAGTCATATGAACCTTATGCAATTTATTGTTGTTATTACATTAAATAATTCAGCCTAAGGTATTCTGAGAGCTCATAGAAGTTTTATCTATATTTTATTATAGATTCTCTAACCAGAGGAATCTGAAACTTTGTTGCAAGTTTCATACTAAACCAAATCCCTACATTATTTTCCTCTCTGTCCCTGTAATTTATATTTAAAGTGAAATAAATAAAAAAAAAAGTAATGACTAAACAAGTCTGTTACCTTATCAAACTTTCTCTTCATGCCTTTATAATTTCTGAACACATAAAACTGTGCTTTGCTCTAGGCTTGAAAAAAGCACAGGGCTATTGGATATCATCACTCATTAATGAGTGAAGGTTCTTAGCTCTACCGTATGTGAACACAAATGTTAACAGTCTCCTTCATGTATCACCTTTTCTGGTTTTCCTTTTCACGTTCCAGAAGCATTACAGGTTCAAGCTGCTTAAGCAGCTTTTATATCAAACTACATTAAAACCTTTTCAACTTCTAGGAGCTTCCAGTGCTTTCTTTCAATGGCATCACACAGAGGAAGTCTCCTAGCATTACAGGGCACAGCAAGGAGCCTGAGCACTTTTGAGGTTTTGGGAAAAAGGATATCTCTGATTCTCTGAGTCCTCCGTTAGCAGCTTGAGGTCCAGGGTGCAGCTTTGGATTAGCTCATCCAGTTTCTTCTCTTCCTGAGTCAGTTCAGTCACCTCCTTCGTGAGGCCCTGGCGCTGCGCCAGCATCCCACCATCCTCGGACAGACTGCAGCCCCTGCAGACACAGAGAAGGAAGGCTTCTGTAAAATCTGACCCTACACCATGGTAAAGGGGAGAGACAGGATTTCACACTGCAGATCAAGTTCTTTGCCCGTTCTCCCTAAACCCATCCCTAGCAAGTCAACGTAAACTACACTTGGCAGAAAAAGTATCTTTTTATCACAACACATTTTGGAACTGCCACCAAGATGTAAGAGTTGAATATTTCTAACTACTTCCAAAATCTTGTTCCTAACCACAGCTTAAAAAAATCCAAGGAAGGCAGTAGGTAGAGACACATACCTAAAACTTACTTCACATGCAGTAAATTAATGAATCTAGTTTTCAAACAAAATGCTGGTTTCTAATTTCCCTGACAAATGCTTTTTATAAAAGCATTTATAAAAGCTCTATATAAAAGCATTTATAAAAGCATCCCTTTTCTTAACAGAAAAATAGGACTTTATCCTGTTGGAAGGCATTTTGGATGATTGCTTGGAGCAAAGTGTTAGAACGAAAGGTGGGGGAAGAAAAACACTGCGGCCCTGTGATAGTGAAATCAGCCAGCAGGGATGGAAAAGGATAATGAATACTTACATCCACTGAATGTTGTTTTTGGATTTTTTCTTAATGAGATGGATGCCTTCCAGTACATTGGTGATATCGTAAATCCTCCTTTTTTGCACCTTGAGGACCTCTGCTGCTCTGTTCAAATCTAGGACCCCATCAGGAGATTGGCTCAGCAACTGAATGAACTTCTTTGTAAGAAGGCCAAGGGATGTATCATACCGAGTCTTTTCTGAAGGAGATTTTGGAGCTTGGAAGGAAAAGGAAAAAGAAAGTTAAATCGGTTTTTTTTCTCATTTTGGTTCCGAAAGCAGCAACCAAAAATGAAATTATATATATTATAGTTACTTCTTTCATTTTTACTGAAGAAATCTCTCATAACTCGCATTAAGACACAACTTACCACTACATATTTGTATTTCAAGATGTACTTTTCCAAAAGTCACAGGTACATGAGCAAATATATATGTTTTTTAAAATGCAAATATTTCCAGTAGTCTGATAGATACATATGGAAATATTCTGCTTAGGCTTTTACTATGTGAATTCATAATAGTATTTTTAGTATCTATTTATCCTGGCAGCAAACCCAAAAAATCCTCTGTGACTCTCCTTCATCAGTCTGATAGCCAGCTTTCATCAGGGTTTGATTTCCCCCTCATGTGAGATAAGTGTTTCATATGCAATTAAGCAAGACTTAGGTGTACTTCAGTGGGTGAACACAATGACAGATTCCATCAGCATCAGACTCCACAGCTTGAGACAACTCAAGTGAATTAGAGGAGATTGATATAAAATAAAATTTATGATCATCATTGCTTCATAACCAAGCAATGCTCAAACTGGGAAAGAGTATCCACGTCTTCTAAATTAGAAGTCAGCAAATTACTTGGACCAATTCATGGTTTCCATGCACAAATGCAGCATCTATATACTTCACAGATGGGCTTTTAAGAGTTTAAATACTTGGATCAGAATGACTCCCAATTCTAAATGTTCGAGGCCTTTCTGTCAAGGGGAAAGAGCCAGGCATTATTACAAGTCTGCTGGGCTGGTACATCTCAAACCCTTCATTTGCTTCCAGTATTACGCAGGGTGGAACACCGGCTGCTTTGGTGGTCTTTTTCATGTTTTCAGGGGTCATGTCCTGCATTGAACTGCAGAAGTCAGTCAAAACTGAAAATCCCACCGAAGAGTGAACCTCTAGATTACCCTGAAATATTCTGAAGACTACAATGGCTTTTCAATGAAAACCAAGATGTTGCATCTTTGCAAAGAGAACCAGCTAGCTGTATTACTTTGGGTAGACACAGCGCTTGTCTGCTCTAGGAAATGGAAGAATATTCATAGAAAGCTTGGGTTGGAAGTGCAACTTAGAGATCATCTAGTTCCACCCTCCCTGCCATGAATAGGGACACCTCCCACTAGACCAGATTGCTCAGAGCCCCATCCAACATGGCCTTGAAACACTTCCAGGGATGAGGCATCCACAGCCTCTCTGGGCAACCTGTTCCAATGCCTCACCACCCTCTGAGGAAAGAATTTCTTCCCAATCTCTCATCTAAATCTCATGCTCATCACTTACATGACCTTGTGGATTTAGAGCAAGGGTGGTTGGTTTGTCTGGGTTTTGTTTGGGGCTTAGAAAAGGGTAAGAGGATCAGAGTGATAATGGCAAGAAGTGACTGGAGTCCCACCTAAAATGGCTTGTGCTCCTCATCCCACACCAAATTCTTTGTACAGGTTTATCAATGCTGCAGCAGCATCCTGTGCACCAAACAGAACGGAATTTCTACAAGAATCCACCTCAGTTTAACATAGGCTTCATATAGCTTAATGAAATTTAGTTTAATTAAATCATCTGTGGTTGTTTAACTCCTATGCTTTAAGTTTGTATCTTCAACTAATTTCACTTTTCCTATCTGCCTCAATAGAAACCAGCAGACTGGTGAGGAAGGACCCCTTGTCATCTCTTGCTCTGACATCACTACCACTGCTGCCCCAGTCCTCTTTTTGCCCCACCTGGCTCCCTCTGCCAGCCTAACTCTACTGCTGAAACAGGACAGCAGGGCTACAGCCTCCAGCTTCTGGTGCAAGAAGCTCACTGCCCAAGGCAATGCAGATGTGAAAAAATTAGTACTTAGAGCAACTAGGCAGTGGCAGTATGCAGAGTCCCACTGCAGGGACAGAAGGCAGCTTGGATGCCACCAAGAGCATTTTTCGTGCAGCACTGCTGAGGTACAGCTAACATTAATTGCAAATCCCTGCCCAGGGAAAGAAGCCCTGGCAGCCAGCTGCTGTAACTCCAGCAGCCAAGGAGGAGGCTGGCCTGATGAGCCTTGCCTAATAACTGTGCAATCCATCCCATCACACCACCTTCATTCCTCAGCATCCACCTCTCCAAGCATCCCAGCATCATGTCCTTGGCTGAAGGAAGGGGAGGCCCTGGGCAGAGAGGATGCAGGCTGCCCAGCAGGCAGAGGGACACACCTGGCAGCCAGGAACCTCTGCAGCCTCTTTAGCAGCTCTGCAGCAACCCCTGCATGCTGCAAACCTGCTGTCCACTGTCCAGATGGGTGCTTTGTTGAGTTTGTTGCATACACATCTAGGTGAGGACAGCAATAAACACGCTCTAAGCTAGGTAAGGCAGACTGATGACAGCATGTTGCCAGTTCCCTTACTTTTTGGACTATCTGGACTTCTTGTTGCAGCTCTTCCTTTCCCCTTTGGTGTCTTTAGTCCTTCTGCAAGATACTGGTGGCCACTTTCTCCTAGCTCCAGCCTTCGTTTTGCCTATTAAAAAAAAAAAAAAAAAAGATTGTTAAGAAGTATATTTCAATCTATCAAACACAGTATTGGGACTACAGGAAAGGCAGAGAGTGGTGAACTTCTCACACCAAGGTATCAGTACAGGTTCATAGCCCATATGCATCACAATGGGATCCAAATATTTACTGGAATCTTAAGGCAGACTTAAACATATCACTCAAAAGCTAGGCTGATGAGGTTTTTATTTGAAAATTCAGCTATTTTTTTAGATTTGAAAAGCTGAGTGACCATTTCATGGCGTATTTCAGTCTAGTCTGGACTTTCTTGAATAGGTATGAAGGATTTTGGCCTTCACTTGAGTTGAGAACATTTCATTTAAGAAAAACAAAGACAGCCTCTCAAGTACCCACATGTATGAATCCGCAGAGCTGCATTTCCTTTGAAAAACTCCTTATATCCATCTAAGTTTCTGCAAAAGTAGTGCTAGGGCAAGTTATATTCCCTTCACTATCTGAGAGGATGGCTTTGAGGGGACCAATAATTTCCACTACTATGAACTTCCCATCAGTGAAATACATGACACAACACCAAGAGCAGCATTGGAAAAGTCTTCTCCTCTGCCTCTCAAAAACTTGTCCTCATTGAAAGCACAACCACTACACTTATTTCACATTAACTAGCACATGTGCTGCCTAAATTCAAGTAAGATGGAGCAAAAGCAGTATTAGATGGTGCCTGAAAATCACCTAAATGTTGCATTCAGATCAAAGGAAACACATCTTGAATAATGAAAATAGTGAATGAAACCATTAAACTTTGCAAAACAGAGACAAGCTGCAATGAAAACCACCACCAATATGAATTCTGTTCCTAGACAGAAACACAATATACTATCTTTGGAAACAATTCTATACCCTTCCCTGACACTCAGGTTACTGAAATTAAATCTGGGGATACTTGTTATCCTAACAATAGAAAGCACATTACCTGGAAGACACAGGAAAAAGAAGTTTTATGTCTAATCAAGTTTAGACAAATAACTGTTTCTGAAGAATGTTGTTTATTCAGTTAGAGTAATTCAGAGTACATGATTTGCTTGTTTTTTAAGATTCACCCCACAGGGATGGATAATGTCTCCTCAGTGAACCAAGAGCAAAACAGTATGTTCTGCTATGGAGTTGTAGACAGGTATTTCTGTATTGTGGATTTGTCTTATGCACTTTACCTTGCATCTGTGACCAACAGAAGGCTCTAAATAAAGTAATTTACATGCATTTATTTATGGATAGCTAAATAACATTTCTGTTGGACTCTGCTTGCAAACCTCAGACTTATTAAAACGCAAGTTAAAGCACATGAGACTCATACAAGGCCATGGTGTAACAGCACGTACAGAGCACTCAAGCCACTCTTCTCCACATTTTGTGTGAAGGGGAATAAAATTCACTGGCAACGGGGCAAAACTGAACTGCATCCTTCTAACCAACACAGGCACCACACTCCCAGCAGACCACTGGTGGCAGCTTCCAATAGCATGAAACACCTCTGCTCCATTCAGCTCTGTAATCCAAGGACACAGATTTCTAAAAGGTCAAGTGTTAACAAAAGCATCCAGCTAATATGTTTAGCCAATGTAATTGGATTAAATTAAGATTACAGCTATTCTACAGAGAGAAATACATTTCACACTTTTTAATGTAAGTATTTTTCCACCCTGAGAACTGTAACAGCAAAGGAAGGAGGGGTGAAAAGGGAACAATTCAGGGCGTGGGAAGACTAGGCCAAAGGGATACAATTAAAGATAAAAGAGAATCTCAAAACCAGGTGTGAGAAGGAGGGGCAACGCTTAAGACGTAAAATCCAGAGATTTGCAGCTCTCTCCATCAGAAGAGAAACTTAGGTTTGGATTATACATCAAAACTTTTTGTCTCAACTTGTCTGCAAGACACAAACAACAGTATTTTGCCTCTGCTTTTGTGGTTAAAGACTTATATAAATTTTTCCCGTGAACTTCAAATAATCTGAGAGAATGCAGACAGCATCCTTTGGTTGCACAGAGCAGCAAAAGCCTGCCTGCATGTGCTGGGGCTGGTACAAACACCACACTCTTATCAAGCTCACCAGCACAGTGCACCTACAGACATTGTAGGGCTAGTGAAAAAAATACCACATGACAGAGAGAGCTCTACGAGATAGCTGGTTTTTAGGGTACAAGAAAACCTGAGAGATATACAGAGCAAAACATTTTAGTGGAGTTTAAAAGATCCTGATTACTGACAGGCAATTTTAGGAAACCCTGAGGAATGTTTAATTTCAGGCCAGATGTTACACGTCACTCAGCAAGTCCTCGCTTCCCCTTCCTGTTTTACAAACTTCATAACTGATAAGATGCAGGACTGAAGTGCTGTATTCTCTCAATTTCTTCTTTCATGAATTACAAACTAAAGATTTCCTAGTGCTGTTTTGTTTGCACTCGAGATCCTTGGTGACTCACAGTTTCTCTCCCATCTCCAAAATTATTCATAGTGCCTTCCGATATCTGGCTTCTCTTCAGAAATCTCAAGATCTGTGATCAGCAGAACCAGTGAGCCTTTTAAAAAAACATCTTGATTTGTGTCATTTGTTTTTGCTACAGCACTATACTCATTATTTGCACTATTTATACAAATTAGCATTATTTGTCCTTGCATTGCTTGATCAATCACTGCATGCACAACCATCTGACACAGTAAGAGGGACCTGCTAAGAAGTAACAAGCCAAAGGACACCAGCACAAAGCATCCCAAATGACAGGGACAGATAGGAAGCAAAGGGACTAAAAATTTCTCAGGGACATTAAACCTGAGTGCAAGAAATGGGAAGTCAGATTCTTTAGGGAGATGGTAAAAGGAGCACAAAATACATGGAACTATGAGACAGGTAAGCCACAAACAGATACATTCCAGTAAGACATGCAAAAGTAACAGGAAAGCAAGCATCTCATTAAGCTAAACCAGAGACCTACCCAACCCCTTGGTCCAGATGTAATTGCGGCATCAACTGCTTTAACTCAAGTTTCTCTTCCAATACTATGAGCAATCCCTGATATAGATACAACTACAGACCCATTGTTCAGTGCAGACCATTAAAACCTAGTGACACCTTGAGCCCTATGTAGGTTTGCCTTTTTAGCTTCAATCCCTTTTTTAAAAAAAAGGCAAAAATAAACCCAGATAGCTACCACAATCCACATCAGAGGCAAACCCACAAGAATGTCTTTCCTAAGAACACTTGTCTGTAGAGGAAAATAGTTTAAAAACTCCCAGGATAAGCTAAGTATTTTCAAGTACACAGGACCTGATGCAATTCACTTTACAGTACTCAGTCTCACGGATGAACTTTCAAGAGGAGGTTGGATGCAGGTTATGCTTAAAGAAGAGAAGAAAAGGAGCAAGTGTAGTATTAATTAATTGACAAAAGGGGTGAAAAAGGTGCAAATGGGAAATTATAGCCCATTCCCTTTAACGGTCTGGTTTGACTTCATGGCTACCTGGGTCTATCAGGTTGCTGACACCACCTCTTCTGCATCCTCCCTCCATCCCTGCTCTCCTGACTGATATGTCCTCATCAGCCCCCACAGAAAGCTGGTTCAAGAGGTCCCTACCAGCAGTAACTCAGTCCCACTCCAAAACAGGAATGATTTTTCTGCCGGGGGGGTGATGAGCCTGCACTGAGAGCTGCTGAGGAGAAGCAGTGTGACACCCACCCATGCCCCTTGGAGCATCAGACTGACATTTGAGCAGCTTCACTGTCATGTCACACAGCAATCAACTTCACTTCTTGGGGAAAGAAACTGGCAGCAATTAGATATAAAGAAAAAAATTCAGAGTGTTACCTTGTAACAGACAAGTAAGGACTAAGCATCAGGTAAGAGCTAGCACAGGATTTTGTCCAGAAAGCAGAGCACAGTGCCCAGGTGGGGCAGACATCAGTTTTTGAGGACTGCATCGTATCTCATTCTCTGAGAATTATATTTTTGAGGGAAGAAGCAGTAAAACACTCTCTAATTCTTCCCAGTGATAAAATAATGGAGAATAACTTTGCCAAACTATGCACACCAGAATTTGTCCTGCTAGATGTGTGTCTCAGCTTGTTTACTGGATGCAAGTTAGTTGCGCTGTATGCAAGAGACAGACCTAAGAAAAATTACATTATCTGTGCTACCTTCTGAAAATCCTTTGTCTGAAATATTGCTGCACCCATTAGGCTTCAGCAAGCACATAAAACTTGCTGGAATGTCTGAGTTGGGCATATTCTACTACTCCAAAACCCTAAATTCAAAGTCATTTGGAAAAGTGCAGTCAGTACATTTTCATTACAAGTGTGAAGCACCAAATTCCACTTGAAATATAAATCAAATTCCACTTCAAATATAAAGTCCCATCACAGCTCTTGGGCCTCCCAGGCTCTGCACATCCCATCTCCTTGGAGGTTCTGAGACCTGTCAACATCCCCTGCTCCCCTAGCAGGCATTCAAGGTGTACTTGAGGAGTAGCAGTCTGATTTAAATACAAAAGGACAAAAGTTTCGTTCTCAGAATGAGAACGAAAGTAACCTGTGACAAAGTCTGCTGAGATGGGGACAGAAGATAAAAACTTATTCCAAAAAACAATGGGACGAAGAGCTGAAAAGAAATTCCAGTTTATGGTCGACTAGAGTGGAAAAACAGGAAGATGGGAAAAAACCAAGCATGGTAAGGAATAAATTGTGTGTATTAAGTGATAGCTGACGGTGAATGAAGCAGCAAGGCAGAGAAACGTGTCTTAGGCCTCTGCTGTGGGTGTCTCAGAGCTAGGAGTAAGATGGGCAAGTTAAGCAAGGGGCGATGACTAAGCCTGGCGTAGTCTCTAGAAGATATTACAATTGCTAGGGGCAGATAAAATGGCAGCTTTTCTGTATGTCACCACAAGGCTGATATTACTGGGGAGGGGATGCAAGCCTTTCCAGCGAGCACAGATAAATTGTGACTGCAGCAAGGAAGCCAC